TTTTTTTTTTTTAATTTTTCATGTAGAATTTTGAACATATATGTCTTTGCTTGCAAGATGATTGATTTTCTGTATATTGGCTCTGGGAATTGTAATTTCTGATTCTGGTGTGAGTCTCGTGCTACAATTCCTATGTTTACACGCACTTTCCATTGGTGGTGCTCTGTATACGATTTCTTTTTGGTGGCTAGTTAGTTGTGATTTAGTAAACTACTAGGGTTCTGTTCTGTCAGAGATACTTAAAAAGAACCTTTGGGATTGGTTGAAGATGTGCTACTTCCATTTATTCAAAGTTGGTTCACACTCACATTTTTGGAGCTTATGCTCGGGCTAGCACGGTGTACAGATCTTGTGCTTTGTGGTGTGTTTCTTTGATCGTCCGGTAGGCATTTTGTTTTGTTGGGTTTTGTTCTTGGAAGGCCTGTTTGGGGACAGATAAACAATCTGGTGTGAGAGATTTCTATCCTCGACTCTGAACCCCTCAATTGGTTGTTGTCACTTATTTTAGTTGAATAGCTCCAAAACTCAAAAATAATCATGCTGTTGTTTTCGGCTTTCAACTTCCAACAGCTTCGTTAACCACCCAATCCAGAGTACTTGTATTTCAGATGTTTTGGGCCTCAAATGTTTCCGAAACATCCTCTGTTTTTTGTTAGGGATTTTGCTATGCATTCTATAGCTTCCAAAACGACAAGTTTATTTTACACAATCAATTTCAATCCGTTGCTTTCACTTTTTTCAGGCTGTGATGGTCTCGAATGGAGCAAAGATTGATATCTTGACTTGGGATGGTACCCTTTCGTCGAGTGACTTCTGTGCTGCTGCACTTGCTTTCACTGAGAAATGGAAGAGGTTTAACTCTACTACTCTCTCTCAGTGGTCATGGGTCCCTTGTCTAAAATGCCCCTGGATTGCTGCCCATGAAGTTAGTTTTTACTCATATCACTTTGTTACTTCTTCAAAATCAGTTCATGCTCTGAATTTCTCATTTTTCATTCTTATCTCTCTCTCTCTCTCTCTCTCTCTCTATATATATATATATATATACACACACACACACACACATACAGGCAGAAGGATATTTGTCGCTAGAGAATGTGTTTCTTCCAAGGTCTGGTGAGGTCTGGCCTTCATAGTTTGCTGCGACATTCACTTTCTAATGGTTGATTTGATCTTTATCTACAGTCTGTAACTGTCTTGTACAGGAAGAGCATGATGAACAAAGCCAGACAGTACATGACGATCTGAGTTGCTCTGGTCAGGATGATGATATTGATAATGCAATTTTGGTATGCATATCTTGATTTAGATCCTTTTTTTTTTATATATACATTTATTTATCTTATTGAAGCCTTAGCATGCACTTAAGCAGAGAATTATATATGCATTATAGTCCTGATAAATGTCCAAGAAACATCTTTTGTCTCGTTGACTGCATTACCAAAGATTGATCAAGGGAACAATATCAAAAAGCTGTATTATATTAAACGGTTATCATCTGTTGTACTAAATTACTAACAATCAGACATGGTGATACTCTTTTGATGTATTACATTCTATTTGCAAGGTTCGGAGCTATGATCATGAAGTACATCGTTATGATTTTCACATAGTGTACAGCTCGTCATATAAGGTTCCAGTGCTTTATTTCCGCGCATACCGCAGTGGTATGTCCACCCTATATAATCATATCATTTGCAGAATATTAGGCCCAATGTTTATACAATTCCATTATACATGATATACCTTTTTAGATGTGTGGAAGGACATTATGTCTCTTGCAATTGTTAATAGTCAGATATATCTAATTCTTAGCTCATGTGTATTAGAGTTAAAATCTCACAATTCATGGGTTAATCAAATCTCGTGATTATTGGCATGATTTGTGTATTATGAATCTATGATATTTATCTTAAATCCCTTGTGACTGTACTCCACCCATATATAAAGGTGGTGCTCATGTATAAACATCATCGAAGTGAATCAATAACAATGTACTCGAGAGCATTTGTATATGATAACATTGGCGCGATGTGCCGAACCATGTAAATTTGTAAGACACAATGATTACATATGATCCATATTCGTACAAAAGGAAACGATTTTTCTATTTTATTTTATTTTATTTATTTATTTTTTATCTTCAACTTGTTCACATTTAGTAATAAATTCTTATGGATGCATAATTTTTTATGATCCTTGTACATCGAATGATTTTTGGGAAGTGCTACTTTTTGTTCTTATAGTTTATTTATATGACATTACATTATAGCATTCATGCAGGCTGGTCGTTTGGGTTGATCATGAAAACATCTGCAGTTTTCCATCAAGAGATGATGATAACAAAGGTTGGGATGCGTTCTTACTAAGAATTAACATTGGGCTTTAGTAGTTTTATTGTAGAAGTAGAATTCATCTTAAGTTTGTTGAAAAGTAACCGCATAAGTTGGATTATGGGGATGTGGTGTAGTTGTCACGGTTTTGGGGCCTTTGATTATGTAGTATTGGTTGGCGTAGATAAACACCTGGCTGTCTGGATGATTTTGGGGGGCTGATGACTCGGTGCTTCAGAAGGGCTTACTGCTCAGAGTAGAATTACATTTTTCTCTCGGGCTTCTTAGGTGATAGGAGAACACTTGGGGGCCCAGTCTTTAGCTCGACAATTTTCTGTTCGACTTCCTCGTTACTACATATTGTATGATATTGTGAAGTTGTATGTCCAAACTGTTATCATCTAAAATTATGTGATATAGCTTTTACTACTAAATTGATGTGGTTGCTTGAACTGTTATATAAGCTTCCTTACAAATAACATCCCTTCTTCAAATGGAATTCTTTTATTAGGAATACTTATGAGTATAATAAGAGTAGTGCCAATAAAGCTACTTATATGGTTGGTACTTATTTTACCTTTCTATTATTACCATCAAGTGTATTTTATCTATGTCATCACTACCACATTGTCTCCCCAGTTGGTGTAGCTTTTGTTGTTTCACATTTCAAACCAAGATGCATGCTGTAATTGCCCCAACTATGTTAGAAGCATGAGCCTCTAGAAATTATATGCTTGTATTCATTTCATTTTGTCTAGTTCATTATATCATAACTGGTGCATGGACCATTTGGTGAGCTAGGTGAGCCATGCTAGCATCTAGGGAGCACTGAGCTGTTAGCTAGATGCAAGTGGGCCAAATTTGAGTGGTTTAGGTTGGGACGAGATACTACAATTCCAAAAAATCCCACTTAACTACTAGTTCACACCATGTAATCAAAATTAGGTAAAAAGCCCATGAGTCAATAGATTCCTTTTAGTTACTGAAAGCCCACAAAAGTTCAAAAAAAGCTTACGAGGAATCCAAATGACTTAAACCGATTACCCATGTGGTTACATGAATGTAAACTATGATCAATTGAAGTGTCTCCACTTGGTTTTAGATTTCAAAAAAACCATATCCTCTAATTTGACTCCAAAAGGAATTTGAGGGCTAAGGTACAAGGTGAGAAGGGGTTAGGCACCCAAAGTTCCCCGAAGTCAGCGTCTACTCATCACCTGTTAATTCACAAGTTAAATCCCAAATATGAAATCTCTCAAACAATAATATAATAATCCAAGTAAATTAAATAAAGTAAACAATCAAAGCAACTAACAAATCAAGAATGGAAATGGGCCATGTTTGTATGGGCCTCCCTTGCCATAGGTTATGAATGAAGAGTTCTACTTTGGCCCCGACCAAATCCAGAATCTTAGAGAGGCGTGGCAGGGCCTAAAATTCACCTTAATGAGGGTGGTTTCCCATCAGATTTAAGGAGGTTAGAGAATTTTTTTTTAAACTAGTAAAATAATACTTGATGCCTGCACGTGGCATTTGGAAGCTTGAGGATGGGTCACTTGATACTTGAGACAGCCTGTTGTAGAGGGTGTGATAGGGAAGCATGGTGGTTTCTTATTTTTTCGATGTGGGATTAAGAACTACTTGAAAAAAGTGATAAACTATGTGAAGTGTTAAGTTGTCCCACATACTGACTTGTCGCACATCATTTTTACAACTAAAAGAAGCAGCCTTTATATAATGACACTGTCATGCACAAAACAAAAGTTAGCGTAGGCAGAGACCAAAAGTTAATTTTTACTCAATTTTTTTTGGCATCCAGTGAATTGGTATTGAAAGGACAGTATTTGTTCTTGGCTGCCCCTTTGATTTATGGTTGTAACTTTGTGAAGTTCATGGGTTTCCATATTTATAGACAGCATCATTTTTCATGAGGTCGTGTTAAGTATACATAAAACTCTCACTTCATTTGTGTGTGTGTGTGAGAGAGAGAGAGAGAGAGAGGGCGTGTCCTTATTCAATATTTTGGTTTAGTATAATTTTGTACTGCCATTCTTTTCTGGTTTATGAATTATCTTCTTGGTTGGTATGGCATTATTCTGCGAGTTAAAGCCTTTGTGTATCAACTTTCTTTGTCAAGTTTAGTCATCTCTGGCATACAGGATGATTTTTATTTTTTATTTTTATGCAATATTTTGTGATGCCATTATTTTTGTGTTTCTGTTGTTGAAATAGATGGACAACCTTTAGTATTGGATGACATTGAAAAGGATCTCCCCGCAAACTCTGCAAAGGTGCTGATGGAATCAAAATGGACATTCATAACTCAGGAGGTATATTTTCTTGTTTTTACCTTTTCTATATTCTTTTGTTCAAAGGGGTTCCATACAAATGTTAGTTTTAAGTTTGAGCGGACATGAAATTATTGTCATGGCACATCACTTTCTCTGCATTCTAAACCTTATAAGTTGGGGGTGATGAACCTGAGACTATAAGAGAAAAGAAATGTATTTGTAGATTTCTAGAGACACTGGTTCTTGTCCTGTCAGTATGGAGAATCACTCTTGTGGCAGGCGATTTTCGCTTGTTAGAAATAAGGATTCTACATGGCAACAAAAGTATTGGAAATTTTGAAAAATTGTATTTCACTGTTTGTCTATTTTTGACCGCCCCACAGCAGTTGATACTGCAGAACTCTGATAAAAGTACCCTAAAAAAATTTGTGTAGTGTATACTGGAAATCGATAATGAGCCTGCTCCAATGCAATGAATTAGTGAAGGCATCAAGAATTAATTATTCCTTGAACCAATTTCTAGAGTTTTTAGAACCTTTTGAGTATAGCTTCTTGCTCGATTGTTTTCATTTTGTTTGACTTCATTCATGTACATTGGTGGCACCCCCTTGGTGCCTTTTTATTTATAATTTTTACTTTTCACCCAAAATAAATAAATAAATAACAAAGTGAAAAGCATAAGCTGCAAATCAAGTTGGATGAGGCTTGCTGTGTTTTTTTTCTCACCAAAATTAAATTGTTTCTTGCTATTGCACCCAATCTAGCATCTTTATGATCCATGGTATATGGCTTTAAATTGTGGTCATAAGATGCACCTTGCTTTTGCTTTGTATGCACACCATTTTTTTTTTCTTTAGCTTGTGTGCTTCAAAATAAGTTTTGCACCCTTTTTCAATGAGACATTATTGATAGTAATATTGATAACATTGTAATAAAAATTTGGCCATATAGCCCAACTAAGTCTTTTAGGCATTGGTAGTCATAGTGTTTGTATACTTGTAGTTGTCGAGATTCAAGCATAAAAAAATGCACTTAGCCTACCAAGTTGTTTCAGTCATTGATGGTCAATTTTAGAATTCTATTTCTGAATATCCTTTTTTTTTTCTTTTTTTTTTTTGAGAAAACTGTATATCCTTTCTTGTCAGTATTATAAAACTGAAGTTTCAGATGCTATAATTCAAAGTAAATAATTGATTCTCTGATTTTGAGATTTTATACTCAAAACCTTGAATTTTTTGCTTTGTAGGAGCACCCCTACTTGAACAGGCCATGGCACACACTACATCCATGTGGAACCAGTGAATGGATGAAACTGCTGTTTATAACTGATGCTTCACAGGCTAAAGGTGGAGTGGCATTTGAGAAATATCTTGTATCATGGCTCTCAGTCGTTGGGCAGGTGGTTCGTCTTAGGATTCCATTTGAAATGTTGAGTGATTCTGGTCAGTTGTAGTTGATGACTATCCTTCGGACATGAGTGTCAGTTAGTCGTATTAAAAGAAGATTGTAAAGCAATTCTGTAACAGAACCAAAAGTCTATTTCATCCCTCTGCTCTGGCATTTAACTTTGAGTGTTGGTCCTGGAGTACTTAATCAATTTTTAATTTATTTTTTTCACCAGCCCGCAGAGATTGGGCTATGCCTTCTGGAAGGACTAATTTAGTTTGATATCTCAGCTCACATTTGGATTTGCTTTGGTAATTGCTAAGCAGACATTGCTGTGATACTAAATTTATTGTTTTCCCCAACTATTGAGGTTGAATAAAAGCAAGTCAGCTTGATTGTCACACAAAGATTAACATAATCGACAACTTAAAGCCAGGTTCAATCAAAGCTCGTGCACAAGTTACCTGGTGTAAAGTTATTTTTCAACATTATTTTGAGGGGAAATTACAAATTAGTGGACATGACAAAATAATTACGTATACATGGAGAGTGCAATTATTTCCATGTAAAAAGACAGTTTCACCTCAATTAGATTCTCACCTGTTAGTAAATATTTATCCCACTTTTCACTTAATTGTAATCTCTCCTTATTTTTATACCCTAGCACTTGCCATAATCTCTCAATTGGATGACTTTTAATCACATGTTTTCACTCCCAGCTAGGCACTTTCAATTCTTAGTTATTTCCTTTTCTGAGTGCTTTGTAAAGTAAATGGACATATCAATTAATTAATCAGGAGTTGAAAACTCGATAAGTTATTTCATAATCATCAAGAAGTAACTACATTTGAACTTTGAAGAATTCACAAGAAGCCATTTCCTTTACAACCTCTTGCCAGAAAGCATATTTAAAAAAAAAATAAAATACATAACACATAACCACGCTCTTTTTGTAAGAAAATGCAAGTTTTTTGCAAATGATTTTCTGCATTCTTGCCCGATAACATTCTGGTTCTGGAATTTACTCAATGTTTATCTGCTTTCCTGTGGGACTTGTTGGTTTACAATTTTGTCAGCTGTTCGGGCAAAACAAACCAGAAATTCGATATTTCCCTCAGCACCCTTCAAGGGGGACTCAATCCACCCGTTGCAGCTGAACCCATAATTTTCCACACCATTTATGATCTTCTCACGAACCTACAGCAATGGAACTCTGATCAAAAGGATATACTTCTTTCACCATAATCAAATAATTCTATAGTCAAATGTCAATCACATTTTGTTTGGTGGATAAGACGACAAAACAAAAATTAAAACTTTAGAAACCTTGACAATAAAGAATCATCTTTCCTAAGTTTCTCCCAATTTGCAGCAATCAAATGGAGCATTAAACACAAGAAATTAGAATGCAAGCAATAAAGGAGAAACATGAAGTGGGAATTCTCTTCTTTACTTTCTCCGTTTCCTTTCAACATTCTCTCTATTACTCATCATACATTTTGGGTTTAAACTTGAAATGGGAATTCAACTATTCCTTGATCACTTGTACTGTCCCAAACATCTGACTGCATTTTCCAGCTGAAATGGAATATTACTACCAAAATTGCATTGTACATCTAGAATAGTCCTTGAGAAGACATGATCCCACAAGCCAATACCTGACATGTTCCCCTCTTCCAGGTCCATCACAAGGAAAACGAAAACCAAGATTTGCTTTATCCGAAATCACATGGGAGCCACGAGAAAATATAACACCTTTCAGGAGGGAGCATGATGATAACTCATAATGAGAATGTGGATGGTGTAAGGTGTGCTGTTGCCATTCTAATTATGCTTTGACATTGAGGTATTGGGTTAAGGCCATTTCAAAGCTAAGAAACAGTTATAGCCAAAACAGCAATATATCTTCGTGTCTGATGGTGTCTGATGATTTTACTCCATGAGTGATATGAAATGATTATGCTCACAAAGCGGAAGTTGCTGGAGTACGAAATATTCAAAAGCATCATAGGTACTTCCAAATGGCAGCCAAACAAATAACAAAACAACCAATCAAACAGGAGAGGCAAATATATACATACCTCTTGATGGACTAAGGGATCTCTTACGATTCCACCTTTTCCCACCTGCAATGAAATTGATGTTATAAATTCAGATTTAAAAAGTTCTTTTGTCCTTTTACTTCAGAGGCGAATATTCGATTTTCACTGCAATATGATTGATTATTAAGGATTGCAACACATAACAAAGAAATAACAAATTTTTTAATCACCCTGTTCTTTTCTTTTTTATCTCCTGCTCCACTCCAACGGCAATGAGCTACACAATAGGTGCAGCACTCATCCTGTCCTAGACTTCAAACAACATGAAGGTGGGATTCAATCCCAGCTCCCCGGTAAAACTAACAAAAGAGTTTAGCAGCTACACTAGCTGGCACATTCAAATTTCTTATAGTCACAAAGCTATCACAGAAAGGCATTCAGATTGCACACAAAAGACCTGCATTAAAAGAAGTGCAGAGGTTCACACAGGTAGGGAGCTTCTATTTCCACCAACAACTCTCTCAGTTCACACCATTTTTAGTTCAAAAGTTGATTTCCGAATAAAACTACATGGTTTGGAAATCAACTTCCGAATGAAAACAAATGGTTTGGAAATCAACTTTTAAACCAACCAAATCAGAAGATTTTGTTCAGAAGTTGATTTCCGAACCATATAATCTTGTTTGGAAATTTGAACGAAAAAAAGTGTGTGAACTAAGATATATGTTTTGAGACTCTATAAACCCCCAAGGAGCCCCATCCACGGGGTTAAATGTAAGCACTACATGTTAATCTCGCAGTATAAATAATTTTAAAAAGATGATTATGAAATAAGAGGGGTATGCGTAAAGCAGTACAAAAATAATTTAATTAGTCCATCAAACAATATATATGACTGGTCTATAATAAATTAGTTTTACATAGGGCACTCTGTTCTATGTTTACACTTCACACCAGGATCTACACTCCTTTTTGTGGTGAACCACAAATTCTTCTTGCCCTTCCTGGTCTATTTCTTTTGTAGAAGAGCACACATGCATGCACGTGCTTATTCTTTATTCATTTTTTTTTATTGTTTTCCATGATGACCTGCCCATTGGCCTTATTATTATTTGTATCAAACCATGCTTGAGCAAGACCTCTTGGAAATCTAACCTATGAGTTCCTATCTTTATAAGAGGCTTTGAACAAAAGAAAGACCCATTTTATTAGATCTTAACAAAGCCATTTCAATTGGTGAACTCAACCCCAGCTCAAGAGTAATCCTATTTAAGTATAATCTGATTCAGCTTGATATAAGTAATAGAAGAGAACAGTAAACCAGCCTAGACCTAGGGCAATTTCACTAAAAAAAATAAAATGGAAAAAATGCATGAATTCTTACTTGAGATCTGCGAGCCTCAAATTGGGGTTTAACCAGAGTAACCAATGTAGCTTCTTCCTTCATTACATTGACCACAGCAGGCATGACCTGCATTTAGGGTTAAATTAGGAACAGAGGAACAAAATGAAACAAAACCTTTAGGCTGTGTTTGGATCACAGATTTGAGAAATGTGAATGAAATGTAAGCTAAATTTTTTCTTTATCTCCCTCACCTTTTCCATTCTCTTTCCAAATCCATGATCCAAGCATAGCCTTAATAGGACTAAAAATCTAGATAATGATTAATAAAATCATGGTAATAATAATGGAGAATGTTGAAATTTCACCGCTCTACTATATAAAAGAAAGAAATGGACTGCCTTTTAGAAAGCATGCAGAAAATCTGAGGCTCTATCTATAAATGGAGACCAAAGAATGGTCATAAATAACAGCTTGGAAAAATATACAAATGCAAGTTAAGATCATTTCAGCACTATCTAAATGCTCACCAAAAGTATAGAAATGAATGAAAGGTCCAATGTCACCAAGTCAACTTTCTGTGGAAGTCCAGGAAGATATCTCAAATTTGTCCGTTCTACAACACTCACGCGTTCATCACGACGAATTTTGTCTGCAACCTATTTAAGAAATCAACATCAACCATTACTCATTAACAAATGTGAAATCCAAATATACAAGAATCTTTGAAAGGGAAGAAAGGAAGGAGGTTGCCAAGACAACATTTTATGCATTTAGCATGTTAGGGGCAAAAATAGAAGGAACTAACACATGAATAATAATAAAATAATAAAAATCCACTACAATTCACTTTCGAACTGATTAAAACCAAGATGATCATAAGGTAAATTGGCGATACAAAGGAAAATTTAACCAACCCATCACTCAAGGATGCCATGCCAGCACTTTTCACAACTGTGCTACTGCAGTATTGGGTTATTTTGCAATTAATCTGCTGCCTTACTTGCCTCTTTGCAGATGTGGCTCCGGTGTTATCTACAATCCTCAAACTAATATTGGATTTTATATATACTTAAGTATATAAATAGAGGGCCACATTTTCGTGGATAACTCCTTTTGCATAACAAACATTTATTACCATTTGAGAGTTTCCTTTCATGTCAACCCTCACAACTCCTTTACCCGAAGCTTTGATAAAACTGGTAATCTGGCAAGAGGAGAGTAATTCCCCGGATATATTTAAACTGGCAAGACGTGCCTACCTTGACAGTCTCTAGTTGTGCTACTTACAACTTAGGCATATATCTTTTCCCCCCTATAAGTGCAGTTTGGTTGCTGAGGAAACTAAGAAAAAGAAAACGTATAAGAGAATAGAAGATGTCTATGCCATGTTTTTGTTAATCTTTTAAATAGCTTGCTGCTTTCAATTTCCACCAAATCCATAAAAATCAGCTCAACAAAACAATATAGTGGCTTTTTATGGTGCCTGTTGTCCTGGATCCCTTGGTAATTGCTTGAGACTTGGGAGTATTATCTTTCACTCTTTGGCTTTTTGGAATCCAGTAGATAAGTCAAGCTTGGCAGCCCAAGCTTTAAAACATTGCTGCAAACAATGATCCAAGACTGTTGAAAACAATATGTGAAAATTGTTCAAGACATTATTGGTCAGTCCACGCTCAATGATTCATCCAGTACTTGGCAAAAAAGCGATGCAGCATTGTGCATCTCAAGGTTTGGTGCTAACTGTGGTTATGAGTAATAAACTATTGCAGGTTAACTCAGTCTAATTAAATCTGCAGTTAAGAAACTAAATTTTCTTTTCCGCATTTTCTTCTAAACCATCATGCAAGCAAATAGAACATTGAATATTTTCTTCAGGCAAGCAAAGAAAACATTTAAAATTCATGAGCACAAGATGTCACTATAAAAGTCTTACCTGTCCATATCCAACATCAACTCCATAAACAAATGAAGCACCGTATTGAAGTAAGCAGTCAGTAAACCCTCCAGTGGACAATCCCGAATCTAGAGCTACTTTTCCAGTCACATCCACACTTAGTTGTTCGATCGCAGCCTCTAACTTATATCCTGCTCTGAATCACAGGACCAACAAGAGACTAAATAAAAATTCATGTGTCTGTTGTCTCATCAAAGTTCCTAGACAAATCAAAAATCATGCACTAAAATTGCAAGGGTTGTTTCTAGAGAATAATCACCTACATACATATTTTGGAACTTCAGCCAAGATCTCCACTACAGCTTCATCAGAGACAGGGGTCCCAGCTTTGTTCACCAGTTTTCCATCCACAAACACTTTGCCTGAAGAAAGTGAGAGACGGGAACAAGAGAGGATCAACCAACAGAAGTAAGATCCAGTATCGAATATATTTAACTTTCCCACTTCTTTTGTTTACTTTTAGTGATAATTTGTACCGGATATATTCATTTCAATTCAAACTGGTGAAGTCCTTCGCCCAAACTGAAAATAAAAAGGCTCAGACACAATATAGAGCCTCATTTCAAATTGAAAATTTCAACTAGCATTTGCCTTTTTCCATTTTCTTAAAGATTCAAGAAGAATCTTTTAGAAAATAATCTGGGAAACAAAATCAAGATACCAGACGTACAAGTACCAAAATGAAAACAGAAAGCCTCTTTTGTGCTTCAAGGTGTGTAAGACAAATTTTATTTAGACAATATGAATTTTAAACTAACAGAGTGATCAATAGCTTAGTACATTCCCCTGTAAATCGTAAACAACACACTTTGCAATCTGAGAAGACCAGTTACCTTGCAGGATCCATGATTGTATGAAGGTTCGGCTGTATTGCTGAAACCTTTCGAGACATATCTCATCTAGTCGCTTTTTCCTGAAAAGATTGATACCATTGATTGATAAGATGAGGTAAAGAGTTTTGATAAATGGCCATCTTTTATTGCTAACAAAATTGAATTCACATTACTCTCTATCTCAAGTTCATTAAGATGATGTTTAAAACTGAGATGGATCACAATTTTTAACGCCACATTCCTTCATGCTACCATGGTGTACTGAAGCATACTGTGCCTATTTAAATTATGCAAAAATCTAGCCAGTATCATAAGTTGATAACAAGATGCATTTGTTTCAATAACTTCCAGAGATATATACATGACTTGATGATGCAACAAGAATTTCAGGTTTGCTCCCTCAATCTAGAAATGAATTGGATCCATCATCATGAATTGATTTTACCAACTTGTGTCCTAACACAGGCTCATCTAACCTCCCCCTCCCCCTTCCCTCCCATCCCTGGTGCGCAAAAAACAAATAAGAAAACGCAACAAATTTTGGTTAGCAATGAACTTTGAAATCAAATTATAGACATAAAAGCAAAAAATAGGGTTTTGGTCAAGCAAAAAGATGTCGCCATTGAAAGGAAATTTGACCTTTTCCTCAAGTTACTACAGTTGACATACCAAAACACAAACATTACCATCAGCACCAACACTTCACCTCCTCTACCAACACCAACTGCACCTCCACTGAAAGGATCACTGTTAACACTACGAATGCTGCCGGCAAATTAACTAGCTGTTTCACAAGCAGAAGCAATCAAGGATGGATCTATGGGGGGCTGCAGATGGGGCCAACCGCACTCCCAAAAATTTGAAAAATATCATATATTATACTAGAAAATTTAAAATAATTTAAAATTATAAGGGTTGTACCCTCTAACATACTTTTGCACCCCCATAGTGATAATCTGGATCCATCCCTAGCAATGGGGCTTCTAATTTTTTTTATTTAATTTTTCCTTCCAATCAAGTTCAGTTTTGACTGTGCTGAAATTTAGAACACAAGACTACATGTGAATGCTTTTAATCTTTTATCATCAATAAGTTTAAGATTCACCCAGTGAACACACTAGTTCTGCCTCTTGGAGTGCAACAATTGAAAAGCTTTTAATCATTTATAGCTTTGTAAATATTCATCCATTGCATTGAGATTTGAGACCAAGGTTACATATTAACATATTGGTTGGTCATTCACACATCACTTACACCTACTCATACATGTGAGAGAGAGAGAGAGAGTGAGCTCACTTCTTCTTCAGTTGTACCTTTCCTGATTTATTAGCAGTGACAAAGCTTCTAATGGGAAAATGCATGTGGGCCTTGTGCCATCTCACTGAAGATCAATAGAACAAATCAGGACACATCTAAAAACAACCCACAGAAGATAAAATGTGGGTGGTCACATATAAGCACAACACACCTTGAGCAAGATATAATCTAAAACCCTAACGCTGTGTACGGTTCAAGGATTTGGGTAGGGATTTGAAAACGGAAAGGGGAAAAGGGGTGCAATGCGAATGAAATACAACTACATTTCACTTACACTTGAAACACCTTTTCCCACTTCCTTTCCAAATTCCTAAATCCATGGACAAAACACAACCTAAAGCTGTTTATGGTTGCGGGATTTGGAAAGAGAAAAGAAAAAGATAGGTGAAATATAAATAAAATACACCTACATTTCACCTAGTTTCACACACGTTTTTCCTTTCCTTTTCCTAATCCCTTCCCACATCCACCAATCCTTTCCTTTCCTAATCCCTTCCCACATCCACCAACCAAACGCAGCGTAAATGAAAAGAGTAAGGGGCGGCATGCCATCATTTTCAAGATGGAAATTATGCTATTAAATAATTTCAAGACAGTAAAAATGATCAACAAGAATACAACCAAAACTGAATGAATTATAGAAAAATAAAACCTTTCAAACAAAAACACAATGAAATAATACCCATTATGGGTAACCTAATTATTGGCCGTAAAAGTAATCTATCAATCAATAAAATGAGTAAATGAAAGAAAATCATCACAAGCCCCAAAATCAGTAACTAAAATTAAGAAATAAAATAAACCCAATATAGGAAATTAAAATGGGTAGTGAAAGAAAATCAAGAATCACAAAACAGAAATGAAAACAACAATAATAATACACCACAACATATATGAATTCAAAACACAGAGAGAGAGAGAGAGAGAGAGTAGCAGAAAGAACCAGATAGCAGTGGGGTGTTGGTGGAAGATTTGGAGAAGAAAAAGAAGGTAGTACCACAACTAGTTGAACTAATACAAGTAGAAGAAGTAGTGCTTCTACTACAACAGCGTGATATGGGAAACTTCAAAAGCTTTAGTGCCATTTTCTTTTCTTTTTGTGCCTCCCCCTCGATTATTTCTTCCTTTCCGTCACACCCTCTGCTGTGCTCTGCTTTAAGCACAACTGCGTTAACAAAACATGACAAAGGACTCTCCTTGCATATTGGGCTCAATGCTGGACAATTCTTGTTGGGTTGATAGGCCTAACGTCCAGCCTGATCCAACAGAAAATGGGCCCATACCAAAAAAATAGTTCAAAAGAAATAGGCCATGGTATTTTTTTTTTGGAAAAATTATCCACAGGTCCCATGTGGAACATGTGGACACCATTTAATCCCATAACTTTTTGAGTACACCCAAAAGTCCTTTCCCCTCTCTCTCTCTCTCTGTTTTTTGCTTCCCTTCCTCTCTTGTTTTCTTTTTCTGCATTTTTCTCTCATCGTCTTTGTCATGGACGACGACCGGTGATCATGTCTTTCTCCATTGATCGAGGCTCACTGATAACCGCCAACCATCGAAATCAACTCGTGACTTCACTCTCACCGACGACGAAGATAATATATTTCTGACGAAGAAGATGATATATTTCCGACGAGGAAGATGAGTGGATCTACTTAGATCTGATGTAGATCTACATCAGATTTGGCTAGATCTAAACAAAAAATAGTTGCCGGAGTACAATCCTCTCTCTACATGCGTCCTTCTCCTTCGATCTCTTTTTTTTTTCTCTGCTATACACTTCTGTTTTTCTGTTCTAATGGAGAAAATTTTCGAATTCTGAACAAGTAGTTTTTGAGTTTTAGTTACAGGCGGTGAAAACTGTAAAATTTTGCAATTTCAAATTTTTTTGGTGCTGGAATGAATCATGGTATAAAACTGTAAAATTTTACAGTTTCATAACATGTTTTTCAGTTTGATTAATAAGGATAAATGCTTAATGAATTTTTGTTTTGAAACTATAACATTTTACAGTTTCAAAACTTACTTTTCAGTTTGATCACTATTTAGAGATTATTTGCTTGAACCTTACAAAAATTGAAAAATAACATATGTTTTCCCCATTGCTGCTGTTTTTTGTCTTTTCATTTTTTTTTCCTTTTAGTTTATCAATATTTAGCACATTTTGCTATGTTTTTTTTGCTATAATTTATCCATTTATTTTTTTTTTCCGGCAATATTCTAGACATTCTGGTGAGTCTCTAGTGATGTTCTTAACATCCAGTGAACGTTCTGAACATTCCGGCGACTTCCATTAACGTTCTTAACACTCCGGCGAACTTCCGGCGAAACTCCGGCGACTTCCCGGTGATACTCCGGCGACTTCCCGGCGATGTTGAACATTCCGACGAATCTCCGGTGACCGTTTGACGGAAGTCCTACGGTAATAAGATGTGAACAGTGTCTATAAATTAAAAAAAAAAAAAGATTTTTTGGTAACAATTAAAAATGTATTGGACTAATTGGTGCAAGTATTTTGTTTTGAGATTAGCTAAGTTTTGAACTTGGTACATAGAACTTATCAGTAAGTTCCCTTTTTTTTTTTTGGGTCAAAATTACAAAATATTAATTTGTTAATAAAGTTATATTATAACTAAAAGATCATTGCTACTCTATTAGCTTGAATCTTGATCGTCCCCTCACAGCACTCTATTGTACATAGGACAAGGGTTGTGTGCTATGCCATTAGGCACAACAAGCATGCTGTGTGACTCGTATGTCGCGAGTTTATTTTAATAATCTGAACCACTCATATAATAAGATTTGTCAAACATATTATCTATGAAAAAAATTAAGTTATTCAGACATGTATAATACTATGATCAAGTCCTAACTATTTTAAAATAAATTATCAAAATTATGTTAACTGTTTATTTTTTTTAAAAAATAAATGTGATCTTGTTTTGAGGTTATGAATATTTATTAATCTAATTTTTTTTTTATACATACTCTACTTAACAAATCCTAAAATATAAATGATTTGAACCAACGACATCAACCCAAGATAAGGCCCCATGAACCCCACAGCATCGCACCATGACTTATAAGCACAACATACTCCCCAAATCGTGGACATAGGTTGCACCACCCAACACCATGTATTTGTAATTTTATTTTATTTTTATTTTTATTTTTACTTTTTTTTTCTCAAATCAAACATTGATAATAAGAAGATATATTTGGTAATTCATTGACGCTCTCTAACATTTTTGTAATAAAAATACGTAAGTTAAAAAAAAAAAGGCCTCACTACTTTGCAATAATTAGTTTTTTGGGTTATTTATACTAAGATCTTCTAATCTATTAGTGAATATCAATTTATTCCCGTCATTTATGAACTCACACATTTTGACTATCTCAAATATAAAAATGTGACACTTTCACCCCTACATACTCCCTTTACACTATTTTTAAAAAATGTGAATTTATACGATTTTTATAAGTGATGGGTCAATATATACGAATATATAGATGATGAGGTAAAATGATATTCGTTAATAATTGAGAATGTCTTAGAATAATAAACCCTTAGGCTTTTATATTTTATTTTATTTTTATTTCATAAGTTGATAGGCAATCAGCTGCCCATTGCCATCTCTCCTTGAGATCTTCTGTTCATCAAGAGCCTAAAATATCCTTAATCACATACCAATTAACCATGAGACTCATCCTATTCCTAGCCTCAGCTAATGTGGATAAGGGATAAGATCCAAAACACTCACTCATCCAATGAAAACTGTACATGTTCAACCCATCATCCCCTGACAGCCACAAGTTCTTGTGAGCAAAAGATATTCCTTTGCCTAGTCACAAAATATTGCATTCTCTCTCTCCACTCCTTATTATGTATCTCTATTATTTTTAGTTCTGAAGAGTAGAAGTCTTTGGTAGGAAAAGCAACCATGGCAGCCACAGCTTCCCCAATGGCCAGTCAGCTGAGGAGCAGCTTTGCTTCTTCAACAAGGGGACTGATCATCCCTAAGGGTATCTCTGCAGCTCCATTGAGAGTCTTACCCTGCAGGAGAAACTCTTCCTTCACCATCAAAGCTGTCCAGACAGACAAGGTCAGGAGAGAGAGACTGTTCTCCTTTTTGAGTGCTTTTAATTGGGTTAATTGTTGCATATTTTCATTTTCCCTGATTCTTAATTGGCATAATTTATAGTTGCTCCCTTGGACAAAATTACATTCCATGGAGGAAGGAAAACTTGATGATCAACCTTGGTTAAATCCAATCAAAACTATCAACACTCATAAGTAGAACTCCTCACTTTTCAATTCTAGTATTAAGGCCAATATCTATGAAATTAAGAGACATCCAGTTGGTAGTATTATTATCTCAGTTGTTGAAATCTTAAATGATGACATTGTAATTGTTAAGTTTATTATATGAGTATGATTATATATTGTTATGTTTTTTAACATAATTGAATATTTGGTGTAATGACATTCTCATTGTATTTATAATGGGGAATTGCAAATTAGTGATATTTTTACAAAATATTAATATTTACAAATTAATGAAAAAACTTATAACTTTAATTGTTAAAATTGATAAAATTTTTCACTAATTAATATATATATATATATTTGGAAACTTGCACTGAAGTGCAATTTCCCTTATTTATAAATTCTCTTTTATTAAATAATGAAAAAATAAAAAATATGTAGTGTTAAGAGTTTATAAAATTTGAAGTTCATACATAAAATTAAAACTATGAATGACATATCTAAAGGGTGTTAACTCATACAAGTCCATTACTCGATTTTGCTTTTCCATACAAAAGAATACTAATCTAAATATATACAAGATTTTCACGTGATACTCATAATTTGTCTCAAATCTTTTATATTCTTAGCACAAATGTTTTATTATTGTGCAGCCCACTTACCAAGTTATTCAGCCCATCAATGGTGACCCATTTATCGGGAGCCTCGAGACTCCGGTAACATCAAGCCCATTGATCGCTTGGTACCTCTCCAACCTCCCGGCCTACCGGACAGCCGTGAGCCCACTTCTCCGGGGAATTGAGGTTGGCCTGGCGCACGGCTACCTCCTAGTTGGGCCTTTCGTCAAGACAGGCCCGCTAAGAGATACACCGGTTGCCGGCCCAGCCGGATCTCTAGCAGCAGGAGGGCTTGTAGTTATACTAAGCATTTGCCTAACAATGTATGGGATTGCATCATTCAAAGAAGGAGAGCCATCGACTGCACCGGCATTGACTTTGACTGGAAGGAAGAAGGAGCCAGACCAGTTGCAGACTGCTGATGGTTGGGCCAAGTTCACTGGTGGGTTCTTCTTTGGTGGCATTTCTGGGGTCATTTGGGCCTATTTCTTGCTCTATGTCCTTGACCTTCCTTACTACGTCAAGTAAAAAAAAAAAACAAGTTTATTAGGACTCTTGTCTCTTTGTGTTGGTGATGTACCTATTTAGGATTTGAATTTGGGAAATGAAAGTTTTTATATTGGAGGAGGAATCACTTCAAGGATGATTGTTATGTATGGAATTTGTCATTTGTTTTGTGAAATTGTGTAGATATCATTGCTGAATGAATGATGGTATGATAAAATAAATTTACTTTTTATTTTATTTTATTTTATTTATTTATTTACATTTAGCTGGAGGGGAATATGGAAAAGAAAATTGTGTTATGCTGTTATAAGACTTGAACGTAGACATCATGTCTGGTAACATAGTAGCTCATAGGTAACCAGTTAGTTTTTTACTAAAAAAACGAGATTTACAATGATGCTGAAGACACGACTCTAAAGTGAACATAAGTGACACTCAAACCAGAGGTTTTTGACAAATAACAAAGCTTTTATTAACTTCTTTATACTTGATTTTGGTTGCCAATGAAACATGGCTGTTACACATGATCTTTTAGCAATATATGGTCAGTTTGTGGAACAAATTTGATTCATACAACTAGTTGTTTGAGCTTGCCAATACAAAGTGTTATGTTTTTTTTAAGGGAAAATTCAAAGTGTATGTGGTTTGGGAACTTTCGTTTTTAGTCAAAAAGTCACTATAAATTATCACGTTATTTTATCTACTTTTTTATACATGGCTGTTACACTTGATCTTTCAGCAATATATGGTTAGTTTGTGGAATAAATTTGATTCATACAACTAGCTGT